TTTGGGCTAATTTACAGCCTCATCAGCTATGCAAACATTTCATGGGCAAGTACTCAAACAGCAAAGCTTAAGAAACTTTATAGTTTTCAGAAACATGCTTGTAGAATCATTTACTTTAAAAATAGGCGGGAACACACTAACTCCTTGATGAAAGTTATGAAAATGATTAATGTATGAAATACATTTTTTTTGAAATAAATATCTACCAGCATTTAATTTTCATGTTACAATTACAATATCTCTCCTATAAACTTTAATAATAAGTTTGAGTTAAATAAAAATGATAACTATAATCTTAGAGCGAATATATTGAACACATATAAACTGCCAAGGATAATAAATAAATATTCAGAATACAGTATTTTATATCGAGGTCCAAAAGTATGGAATACTTTTCAAAAACGGTTCAAAGGTACGGTGAGTTCGTTAAGTTCATTCAAGTTTTTAACAAAAAAAGAAATCTTTAAAACCTGTGAAACATTTTTTGTTAATAATGCATTGGATAAATTCTCTTAAATACGTTTTTGTTTTGTTTCTACTTTTGTTTGTTGCTTGACAAATTTAATTTGCGGATTACGCATTTTGTTATGACATTTTATTAAAAGTTTTATTTTGTATGTCATATTACGATATTTTAATTAAATCTTGTTAAAGGGGTTCTATGAAAAGATTCCGATGACGTTCTGTCATCCTCATCTTCTTTGAGCCCCTATCTGTTTTACTTGTTTTGTTAAATTTTATATTATGTAGTGGAATTTGTAAAATTCTTATGTTATGTAAACAGAGAAAGAAAGAAAGAAAAAAATAAAAAAAATAAAAAAAAGTTTTATAAAAAACGGGCCAATTAGAACATAACAAAGATATCGTAATTACGATACTGTGGGTTAAAAGTTTTAACCCACAGTATCGTAATTAAGATATTTTTGTTACGTTCTGATTGGCCCGTTTTTTGTTTACAAAATACTTTTTATTTATTAAATTCACCTCCCAAAGACTATAGAGTTACTACAGTTGACTGTACTACTACGGTTTTAACTTAAAACCCATCTTTGTTAGGTTCTATTAGCAATAATTATTTTCAATTTTTTTAAGCAAATAATAATTTACTTATTAGCAACGAAAAAAATTAATAAGCAAATAATAATTTGTTTATAATAGTTATAATAAGCAAATTATGATTCGCTTATTGATAACTTAAGTTGTTTCCCAGTGGGAATCGTTAGTGAATTTTTCCCTCCCCTCCCTAAAACAAAAATTTCTACTGGGTGTTGTTTAATTTAACATTTAAATGAAAATTCTCTCATTTTTTTTTTTTTAAAGGTCATCGATATAAAAGACGTCTTTTCTACGTCTTATTAAAGACGTACAACCGATTGACGTCTTTTTGACCTCTTTTTTGAAAACGTCTTTTTAAAAGACGTCTTTTCCACGTCTTTATTTAGGCTGAATATAAAAAGACATAACAAGTCATAAAAAAGACGTCTTTTATTCGTCTAAAGATATCTTTTTTTCTATTGGGTGGATAATTTTATTTGTAGGGAACACGTATTTTTTTTTCTACCAAATCATGTGTTTACACAAGAAGTGCTTTAATTTGTCATTTTTATTCTAACTGGTAGAGCTTTTACATAGGGAAAAACGGGGCAACATGACGAACGTTTTGAAAGCCCTGAGTTATTGCAAAACTATCAGCCGTGAAGCAATAATACTTTCTCGGTATGTTTATGTTATCAAAATCCTTCATTGCCTGCATGAATTTTCAGTTTGTAAATATAACAATTTGAAATAAATATTAAAATAAAAAGTTCATAAATTTGTTATCTGATCACGTGACCGGGGCAAGATGACTTATTATGCAATTTTTACTTTCAATTTTATAAAATTTTAAAAACTAACAAAAAATCTAACTAAAGTAACACAAAATAAACACAAATCGCAAAAAACTACTTCTAAAGAAGTTAAACTTGAAGGACACCATCCATTATGAGAAACCGAAAGTGAGGAATTTTTTTTTAAGCGCAAAAAGTAAACTTATGCGTATAAAATTGCGTTGATAATATTTCAAAAAACCAATTGGTGTTTTAAAATACAAGATGCAAATACAGTTTCGTTTTCAACCAATTTTAATATTTTTTGTTGAGTTGTTATATGAAAACCCATCTTGCCCCATTCGCCATTTTGCCCCGCTTTCCCCTACTAATAATCCATTAAAACCTGAAAATCAATTAAGTGGATTTTTTGCATCCATATCTGCAGTTTAGGTTTTATTTTTGATATTAGAGACGCGCTATCCAGTTATTATAAAGTTCGATGATCTGACCTATTAACAGCCCTAGCGTGTTCCGAAAGTAAAACAAGTAATATTGTTTAGCTAGATTTAATGTAATGTGTGAAATTGAAAATTATTTTGGATAGCCAAAAATATATTTAAAACAAGGCTTGTGGAGCCGGAACCAAGGTCGCAATAATCGAGCGGCACTGGGCTTTCGTGTTTTTTTTAAAGGAATAGAATGTATGCTTTTTTTTTTGTTGAAGACAAACTTTATTGATTTATTAACTAATTTATTTTATGAATTATTTATTAAATTTCTTTTTTTTTTTTAATTTTTTTTCTAATAGTTACAAGTCCAAAACTATCCTTAAAAAAACAAAACACGAGTAAATTATATATGGAAATATTCTTACAATATTACATGTTGCTTTATGTTATATATTTTATACTGATATTATGCTGTTAAATATTTGATGCGCAATTTAATGAATAAAATTATACTCAAGCATGCAATCGATAAATTCGGAACAATAGATTTCGCTTTAAAATTTTTCACCGACACATTTTTGTTTATTTTTTTGCGTAATTACATTAAGTAATGATATTACTAATTAAAAACATCAATAAGCGAGTGAAAATGTTTCCCTTAATTAAAACGTCATTAAAACAGTAAAAAAAAACAATTCTGCATTTCCTGCAGCTGTCTTTAGAACATTATTGAAACTGTTAGAAAAAAGAAAATTCTGCATTGTCTGCAAAATCCTTTTGCATCATTACTTGCAATCGCTAAATCATCTAAATTAAGCATATCTACTGCTTATATGGTCATAAAACATTTTATTTTAGCTGAACGTTCAACGGCTTTTTTATGGCCCGTGCCCACTGGGTATATCCGGTAGCAGAGTAATGTTAACTTGTAATCATGAAAGTTGGTTAAGAATTGATTGCTACAATTGGTTTGGATTTGGGTTGGCAAAGGCGTCATCCATAAATTACGTCACGCAATTTCAAGCATTTTTGACTCTCCCCTCGTTACAAAATTATAACACTTGAATATTAATTACATGTAACACAAAATGCTATAATATAAATTTATAAAAACTCAGATTCTTACTTCTAGGGCATTCATGTTAAAATTTACACCGATTTTAAAATTTTATTTTTCTAGTTTTCATTTTTTCTTGAACCTCTTAAACAAAAAATAGTTGAGCGAAGTATCTTGAGAGATAATTTCGTTCTTAACCACGTCATGACAGTTGAGTATTTTACGTTTTTTTATTCCGCTAGTTTCTCGGCTAATTTTCTAACAAACTAATGACATTCTTTATCCATTCGTAACAGACACTAGTGGTGTCAAACTACCATGTTCGACTTCACGAACTCGTTCGCCATACTCTCTTTTTTTTTTTTTCGTGTTTTCTGAAAATAGCAGCTATATCTAGATTTTTGTTACTCATGGAATTGACATGCGTAACTCTTCATCAAGTAAGTTGTCTGCTCCATTTGCCAAAAACCATTTGCTTTAATATCTAAACGAGCTTGGTTGCTTTTCTTTGCTGTATGGAAATAAAAACTCTTATTATCAAGGGGTATGAGGTGTGGTTCAAATTGAACATTTATGCATTCTTTAAAGCAATGTTGTGAATATATTTCAATGTTATTATGGCGACTCGAAATAAAGCCACCTTTTTTATACGACAATGAATGAGTTACATTGAAAGGTTCTCCACATTCACAAATAAAAGGGATATTTTTCAAGTCAAAATTAAATCGTAAGTAAGCACAGTAAATTTTAGTATTCTTTGATTAATATCAAGACCTTTGTTTTTTAGTGGTAAAGCGTTTAACCAGGTGCTTGAACATGCGCTTCGCGTTTGCTGTAACTTAAAATAGAATCTGGTTGTTAGAATTAACTGCAATTATTTTCTCAATGCGATACTGAAGTCTGTCAATAGATAATCTCGAGGAGATAATGTAAACAGCCTCGTAGGTCAACAAGAGTTGTCAACAACAAATGAGTAAGTATTAACGCTTAAGGCAAATAACTAAGCGTCTACGGCCGCTAGACATTGTTCACATTTAGGGATTGTTCTTAGAATATATAAATTTTAAGCGAAATCTTTTTAGACACAGCAAAATCGCGTCTCTACTACGTAATTAAATCGTTTTAACCATTTTACTACTATCTCGGTGCGATATTTGTTCTTAAATTTACGCTCGATGATTTGCTTTTTATCGCGGATGCGTTAAAAACTTTAAATTTATATTATTTAGGTAAAAAATATTTTTTAAGATAATCTCCATTTTATGCTATTTTAAAAATTTCAATACTTTTGCTTTCTCGATTAAAAACGCATAAACATCATGGAATTGCTATTTAGCAGCAAGTTACGTATGAATCATTACAAAACCACTAATCCTCTAGTGGTCTAACCTTTAACTCCTCCCCCTTAGTGCGTGACACAATTTGAACGACCCTAAATGCGATTAGAAAAATATTTCAAAACTTGCGATTTTTATTCAAAAGCATTTGTACGGAGTAGAAGCCGAGCTATGAAAAATACATTCGGCTCCACAAGCCTGTTTAAAACAACAAGAATTTTAATGCTAAAGCATTACAAATTAGATACAGCAAAATGCAGAAAAGTTAGACTCAAACAACAGGGGAATTTTTTTAAAGCCAGACCTTAACGATTAACCACACAACAACAACAAAAAAAACAAAATATCGAGTGAATTATTTATTTAGCTTGGGACTTCTTTTTGGCTTTAACAGCTTGACCCACACGAAATCCATTTGTAGCACGGCGTTGAACTCGTTTCATGTGTCTCATTCTGCCAGTGCCAGTAGTTCTTCGATGCTTGGCTTTTTCACCCCAATTAACTAAATGTCAATATAAAACGGGTCAAAACAAATATCTCACAACAAATTATACCAGAATTTCATTAAAGATTATAAAAATATTTGCTTTATCTGCTTTTTGAACTTGTCAACTGGTCAATTGTATATTTGGAATAATTTTTTTCAAGAGAAAAACATTTCTTCAAACTAAGAGCTATTCTGCAAATGTTAAATAGAAATTTTAAAAACATGAAATAAACACAAGATTAGGCAAGATTAGACAAAGTTGCAAATCAACATCTGTTAAAAATTGGAAATCTGGATTTTCATTTTCATATAATTTTAATGTACAAGATAATTTATACATAACAGTTTATGAGCAATAAATCTGTTGTGTGGCTTATAAGCCAAATAATCCTTTTTACTATTTAACTTATTAAGCTTAAATCCTTTTTACTCTTAACATGCCGCTTATAACTAAGTGTCCTTTTTGCTACTTTTATTATGCTTATTTTTAAAAGAATTTTCTATTGGGATGGAGCAATTTTCATAAGAAATATATGCTTTAAAAATGTTGAATTTTATGAATTTTATATTTAAAATCATATAAATTACAATGACTTTCTTATTGTATAAAGTCTCTTTAAACAATAATTGAAGCAACTTAATTTAGGTATATTTCACTTCATATTTTTATTTAAACTGATATTTTAAATAGGCATTTAATCTGCTCATGAGTCCTAGAGTGATACAAATATAAAAAAAAATTCACTTATATTGTAACATGACAAAAATATGAGGTCATTGAGAAACTTTAGGATTTAATCTTTATTGCTCCACTATCTTGATAAGCTTGATATCTTTTTGTCAAAAAAAAAAAAAAAAAAAAGAAAAAAAAAAGAGAGTTAAATAAACCTAATTACTCATTTATTGATTAGAACTATGATCATAGATCATACAGGTCATATTTTAAAAATCCAGAAAATTGTTTGGGTAAAAAATTCCGGGATATATTTTACTCTTAAACATGCTTTTTGCTGAGAAGTTTTAAATTTTTATAACTTTTGTATTAGTGAAAAAGCTTTAAAAAAATACATTACACAAATATATACCTAAACGTACCTATGGAAAACGTTTTGAATATCCGGAAATACTAAAAGTTGAGAAAAATATCAGAAATTCCTAAAACATCTGGAAAAAGATTATTCCTGTAAGGCAGTTCACTTTCTCCGCATGGATTTTTTAATATATAAACGTATATTTATTTATACATTTTTATTTAAAATCTTATAACAAGTTTTTTACTTTTAAGTGATCTTTTTGATTTTAGAACCATTTTACTTTACTTACATTGAATAAAGAAAAAAAAAAACATTCATCAAAGCAATAAGTAACATGCAGTGATTTTTCTTAAAACAAATTGATCTTAAAACTGATTATTCATTAAATTTGTTTAAAAACATTTTAAGTTTGATGAAAAAGTTGTATCTAAATCAAGCTTCTTTTTAAATTCCTAGTTTAACTTAACTAATTATTAAACATTTAAAAGAAAAATAATTTAAAACATTTTCAATTATTCAACATAGTTTCGTTAAATAATTAAAAATTTTCTAATTATTAACTTATTGCTTGGCTGTTTTATGGACATGTCTAAATTTAAGTACTGTACTTGTTATTCAATTGATTTTTACTAATATGTTTAAATCATTAAATAATTTAATTTGTAATACAAATTTTTAATACAATGTTTTTAAATCAGAGAAACTTAAATTCATTTTTTTAAACAAGAGATTTTAAGTTCAATAACTTATAAAAATATAACCTTTACAAAATTGATTTAGTAATTCTTACACTTCAACAGTTTTTAACACAGTAGAGTACCATAAACATAACTTAAGCTTAACAAATTTAAAGTTAAAAAATAACTAACAAATAACTACTATTACAACCTTAGTGAATTATAAATTCCTATGTTCTAAAAGCTATAAAAAATATTCTGACAAAATTTGAGAAAAATAAACTTGAATAAAAAATACTTCTATAAACAAATTTAAAACTTAAAAGCCTACTAACTAATACAGGGTTACTACTATTAAAACTGAGCCTGAAATTAAGGATTATAAGGAGATATTTTCGTAAAAAATAAGATTTGGTTGCAAACGACAATTTTTTGAAAGAAAAAGTAAGGAGAATTAAGAAGAACAATCACATTAATCAGAATCTTATTTTTATAAATTTTAAATATAAGAAGAAAAATTATCATAAATTAATATATATATATATATATATATATATATATATATATATATATATATATATATATATATATATATATATTAATTTATTGACACATTTATGAAGTTTAAATTGTTTCAGAGTTTAGGTACACATTTTTTATATGGCCTTATTAGATTGGTAAAACAAAATGACGTTCATTTAAAACATACATGATGATCAGCGCCTTTTTATTATATAACATTTATTTTATCAGAATCAATAACTGCACATTTAGCTGCTTAAGATAATCATATCCAGAAAGGCCGTGCTTTAAATCACTTATTTGGACAATTTCACTTACTAGGACAATTTTACTTTTTTTTTACTTTTTCTTTAATATCTTGTTGCTCCTATATTTGTAGTGACACTATTAATTTTTTTTAGAAAATACACATCTCTCCACATAAAGCCTTCTATTGTATTTTTTAAGTAAGACTTTAAAAAAAATATTATTGCTTCAGCCTTATCAATATTAAAGGTAATTGCAAAAATGACTAACTTTATTATTTACATGATAGTATACATAACAAGTCGAAATAAACATAGTTTAAATTTTGATTTTAAAATTTGAATTTTGATGGTTTCTGCATTCTTGTCTATTTTGAAAATTATAACTTATTACGACCAATATAAAGTAGATATTACAATCTTGAACAAAAAGTGACTCTAATGAATTGTTTATTTCTTTGATTTTTATCATTATTATTAAAAATGAATAAAATATTTAGGAGTACTATATTTACAGGTTTAAATTATTTGAAAAAATATCACTTTTGTAAAATCATAAATTCTTGCTTAGTTCTTACTTTGTATGAGTTTGATACGTTATGTTACAATAGAAGTATTTCGATAGTTATTTTAAAAAATTAAGAATAAAAACAAAATCCATACAAAGCCAATTTATTACTTACAAGATCTTATTTTAGCTGCTGGGTAGCCACATGAAGAGCATGTCTTCTTTTGGATGTGAAACCCTCTTTTGCCACATCTTACACATAAAGTGTGTGTCTTGTTATGCCTCTTTCCGAAACTGGACGTTCCTTTCGTCTACAAACAAACCAATTTAAAACGGAATCGTAGTCATCACTGATCAAAGTATTACAATTATTATGTTAGGCCATACATGACTTTGATTTCATTAAAGTCATTCTCTCAAACATTAACAAACACATACAACATAAAAAAGACCTCCAACAAAATTAAATTAGAAACCAGAGAATTTTATTCGCGTAAATAGATTTAACTAGAGGATATATTATTAAGAAGATAATTGGAGATAAATAATTTTAACGTACCATCTCGTCGCTTGACAAGCTGGAACGGTAAAGGTCGCCTTGATGGTTCGGCTTTGTTTTGAAATAAGAATTTAAGGAAAAGCGTTCTGCATTATTTCACCAAAATAATTTACCGTTACCGAAAAACACAACTAGACATTATTCTAAGTATTGCATCTTCTTCTTTTTTTTTTTTATTTACTTATTTTTTCTTATTTAAGTATATCAAATAAAGATACATTTACTGTCATGAAAAAATAAAGAAAATATATATACAAAATTTTTACATATCAGATTGATAAAAATACATTAATTTAGATGATCACAAACTTTAATATAAATTTTGGTGTAATAACTATTATATCGTTAAATCGCCTGAGTTCGCTCAACGCCATTTAAGAAAAAATATAAAAAAAAGCATGCATAACTCAAATTTTACAAACTTTTTTTTCTCAAATAATATTTGTAATTAGTTTGTAAATATGAATCTATGAAAAAAATAATAATGTTTAGGGGAAAGCGGGGTAAAATGGCGAATGGGGCAAGATGGGTTTTCATATAACAACTCAACAAAAAATACTAAAATTGGTTGAAAACGAAACTGTATTTGCATCTTGTATTTTAAAACACCAATTGGTTTTTTGAAATATTATTAACGCAATTTTATACGCATAAGTTTACTTTTTGCGCTTAAAAAAAAATTCCTCACTTTCGGTTTCTCATAATGGATGGTGTCCTTCAAGTTTAACTTCTTTAGAAGTAGTTTTTTGCGATTTGTGTTTATTTTATGTTACTTTAGTTAGATTTTTTGTTAGTTTTTAAAATTTTATAAAATTGAAAGTAAAAATTGCATAATAAGTCATCTTGCCCCGGTCACGTGATCAGATAACAAATTTATGAACTTTTTATTTTAATATTTATTTCAAATTGTTATATTTACAAACTGAAAACTCATGCAGGCAATGAAGGATTTTGATAACATAAACATACTGAGAAAGTATTATTGCTTCACGGCTGATAGTTTTGCAATAACTCAGGGCTTTCAAAACTTTCGTCATGTTGCCCCGCTTTCCCCTATATGCAACCTGCTGAAAAAATTCTTTAGGAAAATACCAATTTGAAAAAATGCATACTAATAAAATCTAAAATAACTAAATTATTTAAAAAAATGATCAAATTTAATCTTAGTATTATTATGAATCTCCAAATTTATAATATTTACAACAAAAAAAGTTATTTAATTATGAAAATTAACTACTTTTTTTATAAAAATTAGTGAAATTTTGAAATATTCTAACTTCGGTCATTCACGGATAAATATCGAAGGAGACAATTAGCAGTAATATCGTGAAATGTTGATAAGTGTTGTGAAATGTTAATAAGTGTTGTGAAATGTTAATAAGTAAAATTTAACGGTAACTATGCCTGTAAATTTAGTAGTAAATTTTGACATTTTTAAAATGAATACACACCTTGATATTTTATTTGATTAAAAAATTTGTTCATAATTTCAAAACTAACTGATGGTTCTTTGAGTTCTAAAAAATGTCAAGCTTGTGACATTTTTTTGGAGATAAAATTATAACTCAACGACAATTATGGATATGTTGCGAATCCTTTGACTATTGGTTGTGTGGATCTTGATGTTCTACTATGGTCAACGATACATGCAAGAATTGCCAATAAACATACAAAGCTTATTTAAAGCAAAGTAGTATTTTTTTTTTTGTTAATTGAAAAAACTTTTTTAAATTAATTGAAAAATATCTTTTTAAACTTTATTAACCAGTGGCGTAGCAAATGTGATAATGGCCAAAGTAATAAAAAAAAGTTGACTAATTACAATAAAAATTAAAAATACTACTAACTTATATTTAAAAAGACCTTTTTCTATGTGCTCCTATTTGTTTTCTTTGGTGTCCTTAAAAAATTTTTTTTTTGACCCCGGCGCGATGCCCTCCTTAGTTACTAGTATTACCTGAATTTATGATTATGAGTAATAAAACAAATAATAACCAGTAATAAAATCATGATTTTATTACTGGTTATTATTTGTTTTATTACTGGTTATTATTCATATTATTTTTGTTCTTGTTATATTTTTAAATAATAGTAATAATATCTTTATACTGATATAGTAATATTATCTTAACACTCTTTTTATTTTATTTTTATTTTCATTATTTGTTTTTTTTACTACCATTATTTCTTATTATTGCTATTTATTTTTTATTTTACTATATATTTTTATTATATAAACTTTTTTTTTTTTTTTTTTTTATATATTTTAGTTTACATTTGTTAGTTTTTACAATATAATGAGAGTAAATAAAAAATTAATACAAATTATAAAGTAAGCAAATACTACTAACATTTGAAAAATTAGGTATCTGAAAAAAGATCAGTAAGATCTTATCGTCAGAACCTTATACTAGTGTAAACAAAATATTATATCATAAAGTAACTATAAGTACAACAAAATAAAAAATACATACATATATCACTTTGTAGTATATATAATAAAGTTTAATAAATATTTCCATAATATAAATATTATTGTCAAATTTTGATAATACGGGAGAGAAAAAGATTTTTCAGCTTAACTTTAAAAAGATGCAAAGAAGTAGGTATATCAAAATTAAAATTAAGCAAAACAATTTTGTTCCAAAGATGGGGTGCACGATAATCAATGCAAAATTGGTTAAAACTTGTTTGACAAAAAGGTTCATATAGAAGGTTGTTATTTCTTAGAGAGTATTTATTGGTAGGTTTCAAAGTAATTAAATCATTAATAACGGCAGGAGAAAGATTGTTTTTACATTTATATACAAAGCATAAAATATTAAAAATATTAAGTTCGTAAATATTAAGTATTCTCATTTCAGAAAAAAGATGTTTAGAGTGAGAAAAACGATCAGCAAAATTAATTACACGTATTGCATGTTTCTGACGGCGATAGAGAGATTGTAACTTACTTTTTTCAGTGCTTGCCCAAACAATATTTGCATAATTTATATAGCTATGAATGAATGTATAATAAAGTTGGGATAAAACTTTTTTATTTATATAGATTCTGGCCTTATAAAGAATTCCAATATTTTTTGAAACTTTAGTACCAACATAATCAATATGTTGCTTCCATGTGATGTTCTCATCAAGGAATACGCCTAAAAATTTTGTGGTGCAATCTCTTTTTATTTCAATATGGTCAATAAAAATATCAGGTAGAGTTGGGGGTAAATAACGTTTTTTAGTTATCGAATGAAAAAGAATCCATTTTGTTTTTTTAATATTTAGGGTAAGTTTATTGCATTTGAACCAGCTAGAAATTATTGTGAGTTCTTCATTCATAGTAGTGAAGGGTTTATTAATATTGTTATCCGATAAAAATAAATTAGTATCATCCGCAAACATAATACTTAAAAGATTAGAAGCTTTATGCAAGTCATTAATGTATATTAAAAAAAGAAGTGGCCCTAAAATTGATCCTTGCGGAACACCACATGAAATATCTAAAACATTTTTTTGATAAGGATTGTTAAAAGAAACGAATTGTTTTCGGTTTGTTAAATAACTTTTAAACCACTTCAAAATTACACCATCCACTCCATAATATTTAAGTTTATGAATCAAAATGCCATGATTTACTGTATCGAATGCTTTTGATAAATCCAAAAAAATACCTAAAGTGAATTGGGAATTTTTGAAAGAGTTGGAGATTTCACGGACAAATTGAATGATTGCATGCTCAGTAGAACTATTTTTTTTAAAGCCAAACTGATTTTTATAAAAAAAAAATTCTTCTCCTTAAAATAAGTATATAATCTATTGTAAATAATTTTTTCTAAGATTTTTGAAAATGTTGATAAAATAGAAATAGGTCGGTAGTTACATATATTAGTTCTGTCTCCTTTGTATATTGGGATTATCTTAGCTATTTTTAACTTATCAGGAAAAACTCCTTGTTGTATTGACGCTCTGAAAACTTTAAAGAAAATATCTTTTAAATGTTCAAAGCATTCTAAGACTATGTTTCCATTTATTTCATCAGCTCCAGGAGCTTTGTTTTTTTTAATAGATTTAAACGACACTTCAAACTCCTCAAATGATAGCTCAGAAGATAAATTATTTGAACAAATGCAATCATCGATCGGTGTTAAAAAGTTATTGAACACAAATTGGGTATTAGGAATTTTATTTGGTAGTTTCGAACCAATATCAATAAAGAATTTGTTAAACTCATGAGCTATTAATCTAGGTTCAAAAATATCTTAGTTATCCAATCTAATCACCTGCGGTTGGAAACCTGAGCAAGTTTTTTTTGTTTTCCACCAATTTCTCTTAATATTTTCCAAGTACGTTTAGAGTCGTTCTTATCATTTTCAATTAATTTTGAGTAGTAATTCTTTTTTAAGTTTTTACGAGTTTTTTCAAATAGATATTTGTAATCTTTGTATATTTTTTCGTTCAAAGGTGTTTTTGTTTTTAAGTAATTTATATATAGCTTTTGTTTGATCTTAGATGATTTTTTAAAAATCTTAGTCATCCAAGTATTATCTATCTTAGTATTATAGTATGTTTCTAGTATTTCAACTCGGGATTTATTAAAACTAAGTTCTTTTTCAAGTTTATCTAGTCTGTCTGATATTATTTTTATGTTGGAACTCATTATTTTTGTAAAAGTTTCTTGTTTTTTTAATAGTTTTTCAGTTTCTTTTAAAATGTTTTGCTTCTGATCTTCAAGCTTAGATATTATTAGTTTCTCAATATTTTTCATTGATAGATCCATCTTTGCACAATTAAAAACAATAACGACTCACTCAATAATCACCTTTCAAATCCGGCAAACAACTCTAAAAGCAACTTTCACTTATACAAATTTAAAAGGAAAAAAAACACTTTTTCTAAAAAAAATAAAAAGACAACAACAAACTTTCAATTTCCAAATTTTTCAAGTTTCAAACTTTAAGGAAAAGGTCGCAACACTGCAACAACTTCCAAAATAACTTTCAAACAAACTTTAAACTTAACATCAACAAAGAAAAATTCCAACTCTCAACTCAAAACTTTTAACAACAATATTATTGCTATATATCTTGATGTTTGATTCGATGTTTATTTCTGTTCGAATGGTTTATTTT